GGGTCAAGATTCACTTTAAGGGAACTGACGGTAAACACGAAAGGACAATTTGTATGAAAGTTAAGATTAAAAACCTTGTATTCTATCAAAACAATGAAATTTCTCAACATTACAAAACGTACAATGACATAGTTAATGGAAGAATTAATCTAAGTCACTAAAAAAATAAATCTTATCCATAGCACCTTAATTAGTGCTTCGCCCATTTCTGGTCTTAATTAAAGGGCATCTAGGGCAACTCCAAGTGCAAATATTTCATAATCATCAGCGCTAAAAATACTATTACTATTGCACCCACCAGGGGCGGATTTAGGGGGCGCAAGGGTGTTCACCCGAACACCCTTCGCCAAAAAATTACATTGTAAGGCAAAATCTGTTTTTTATCTCTATATATTAAGTTTTGAACACCTTTAACACAATTCAAAAGTATAGTTTAATGATAATGGGGTTCTAAATCTACATAAGGTCATGGGTTCAATTATCACTAGCTATAAAAATATTTTTTTGAACCCCCTCCGTGGAGATCCTACCTTCGCCACTGGAGGTTTTACATCTTCGTTCAAAAGTATAGTTTAATGGTCAAGGGGGTTCTAAATCTACATAAGGTCATGGGTTCAATTCTCACTAGCTATAAAAATATTTTTTTGAACCCCCTTCGTGGAGATCCTGCCTTCGCCACCGGAGGTTTTACATCTTCGTTATGCACACGCTTATTATACTTAGAAGTGGCCATGATTGCCCATTCCTGAATCTCCATTTCTGTTGACTCAAATACTCTTTTCCATGGAATTTCAGCTCTTCCCAACACTTGTGATCCACCAATATTTTCCCCAAAAACTGGCAGATATTTTCTTGACCGGAGCTCTAAAATGACTGTTCCTTGCTTGAGCATGTTAATGGAGTCTTGAGTTCCCATGCAATCCAATGAGAAAGATTCATCCCAAAACAAGTTATTATCAGATTTTGATGATGAGATTATTTCTTCGCTATTTAGTTGAACTCTTTGGTTGTTTCCTGCTGGAAGATAGCATCTAACAAACAAGCTGTTTTTTCCTGAAGAAATTTGTTCTATGTTTTTTGCCATTATGATTTGTATTTCACAACTAATAGTTGAACAATTTTGAGTTTTCTCCATTGGAAAAAATACTAGTGGTTTTTTTTATAAGGTTTCTTGTTTTCTTAGAGATGGTTTGTTTTGGTGATGGGAAGCAATTAGTTAGTGGGGGTATTTATAGTTGGAAATCAAAATGCTTCACTTTTGGCAATGGAAGGAAATTAAAGTGGTGTAACTTTATTTACGGAGGAGCAACTCGCTAGCTGGAATATAATTATCCTTATATCTACTTACTATAAAATAAGAAAACGTAAACCACACATGCAATGAGAATTAGTGCTAATCTCGTAACGGGTTTTATATGGAGTTGAAGTGACTTTGGGACCATTGAAATATATTGTCTTTATTTATGAAGAATTTCAAGACAAAGCTCTTCAGAATCTTCAAAGGTTAAAAAATGTGTGAAACGACTCTTAGGATAAATATAATAAAATATATTGAGGTAGAATGCTTGTGGTTGTGGATGGGGCGAATAGGATTTAGTGGATTTATCTGGGATGTCCAATCAGCTGTTAAAATATGGCATGCACTGCAATTGAAGAATGATAAATGTGTGTTGTAGCTCTTTTCATTCGTCAACTTTAAAGTTTATTATGTGCGTTCGTAGACATAAAATATTAAATCTTAATGCATAATAAAATTTCTAGGTGTAATAGGGCTTTCAATATTTTTCCATCTTATAGAAATATTATTATGACAATCATATAAAAGATTGAAAGTTGAAACTTTTGTAACCGAGTTGAAAGTTGAAACAAGTAGAAAATTCTAATTAAGCTTAATTAGGATTAATTCATGCAACGCTGTATGAATTAATGTGCTTGGACGTCAACGGAAATTAAGAGCCCGTTTGAACATAAGAAAAAAATTTCTTTTTCCAAAAAGTTTTCACTTTTTTCAAAATCAGCGTTTGTTCATAAAATTTTCAATTTCACTTGAAGATGCATTTTGGAATTTTTTTGAAAATTTGAAAAACTCCAAGTAGTTGTTTTTCAAAATTTTTACTTAGATTACTCACAAAACTTCAAAAACAACCCAAAATTATATTCATGTCCAAACACAACTCTAATTTTCAAATATCATTTTCACTTGAATTTTTTTTTCACTTTTTAAAAAAGTTTTACTATTCTTATGTCCAAACGCCCACTAAATACCACTCATGCAGCTGGATGGCCGAGGAAATGGCTAGTGGAAAGGGGGCATTTGCATCTATACCCGCCTTCTGTGTCACGTTTTAACTTGTGTCTGCTTTGCAAAAAAATTTCAAGCGTACCCGTTTTTTCGCATAACTTCAGCATACGGGGCTGAAGTAGCAAAGACAATCACGCAAAACTTCAGCATTCTAGTAGTTGGGCTTGAAGTTCAGCTCTAGAGCTGAAGTTTTTGTTTTGTAACTGTCGAACTTCAGCTAGCTCTAGAGCTGAAGTTTTTGTTTTGTAACTGTCGAACTTCAGTTCTAGAGCTGAAGTTTTTGTTTGTAACTGGCGAACTTCAGCTTTGTAACTGGCGAACTTTAGCTCTAGAGCTGAAGTTTTTGTTTTGTAACTGTCGAACTTCAGCTCTAGAGCTGAAGTTATTTGGAAGCTAGCTTTAGAATAGGATCTGCTCAAATAAGCTGAGGATCCATCCATCAAACAACTTGCTAGTTTGTTAAAATCTTTGGGGTAAAATATTAGCACTGGGCTCAAGAATTTTTATGTGCTAACATACTCAATTTAGCTTTACAAGAAACAACTTTCACCTTAATAATATTTATCAAAACAACCCAAAAAAAGAAGTAAATAAATGCAAATTATTCATCCCTAATTGCGAGAACAAATAATGAGCTCTGTAATACGATTAAAATGCAAAGACGTCGTCACTTAACAATGGTATCTTGATAGTTTCCACTCACAAAAGGAACTATGCAAAATAATTTCCTTTTTAATCATATAAAGGTACAAAAGAAAGTTTTAACTTCTATGCACTAACAGTTTAAAAGAAATTTTACCTAAAAAATAATCTGCACCAACAGCAGCAGAAGAACGAAGAAGAAAACGAAGGAGGAGAAGGAGGAAGAGAAAGGGGGCTGAAGTTATTTAAAAAGTGGGTACAAGTTAAAGGTTTTTTAAAAAATGGGTATAGGTTAAATGGGTTTGACAAATAGGACGCCTCGTGCAATTTTTACAGTGAAAAGGTAGTCAACTTTTGTGTGGGGCCCATGTTGCTCTTGGCATAATAAAGTTCCACCCATAAAACAAAAACTTAAAAAAAAAAAACTAAAACTCTATTTTTAAATACACATGCATATGAAAATTTAATCTTAGTAGGAGTAGCCGCTCAATTTAATATGTGGCACGATCTTTGAAAAGCCTATCATAAGAAGTTAGAATGACAAAAAGACTCAGTCTTCTCGTTTGATTATACTTTCTCTCTCTAGAATGGGAGTTTCTCTCAGCTAAGAATGGATGGCGAATAAGTTGTGGAATAGAGGGAGAGGTCTAGGAGGAATTGGGACTTTAACAGGGGAATTTTGGCAAGAGAGGAATTCCTCAAACGGAAGATGCAAAGAAAACACGAAGTGTAAATGTCTTATAAGGAGTGATACCACTTGAATTAAAGCACTCACCCATAGCAGGACCATCAATGGTGACACCAATGGAGAGTACGCAATTTACTACACAAACGAGCACTAGTATTCAAGCACAGACTACAGGGAAGCAGTCGCGGCGGACCAGGTTGAAGCTGAGGAGAAATCCACAAGTAAAACCCAAACCCTATCCACAAATTCGAAATCATGGGGTAATGTAGTAGGAAATGCACCAATAGTTGAGGGCTTTGATGAAGAAGGAGAAATTAATTCATCTACAAATGTTAAAATTACTATGGAAGATGTGAAAGAGGAAATTGAATATTGGCAATCTGCGGTTGTGTGCTTTGTACTGAGGTCGAACCCTCCCCTAACAGTCATGGAGGGGTATATTAAGTGCATATGGAATTCATTGGGGGTGGATAAGGTATCACAAATTAATAAGGGAGTATTTATGGTTAGATTTCATAGTATTGAAGGTCACACAAAGGCAATTGAAAGGAGAATCCAGATCTTTAATAGGAAACCAGTAGTGGCGAAGCCATGAAAATGAGGAATGGAGATGAGCAAAGTTATGGTAGAGCATGTTCCCATATGGATCTAATTAGTGGGATTGGACCTAAAATATTGGGGGAAATAGCTTGAACAAAAATTGTTGGACTTGTAGGGAAACCTGTGAAGGCAGATACTGCAACAACAATGAAAGAAAGCTTATATATGCAAGGGTAATGGTAGAAGTCCCACTGAACAAAACATATCATGATTTAGTATTATTTGAAAATAAAATAGGACAAATAATTGAGCAAGAAGTGGAATATGAGTGGAAACCTACACTGTACGAACAATGCAAGAACTTTGGACAGACCAAGCAACAATGTAGGAGATTACAACAGAAGCTACAAGTGGTACAAGTAAATAAAGAGCGGAAACCAATGAAGGAAAAAGAACATGTTGATAAGCAAAAACTAGAAGGGGGAAACCAGAGAAAGTTGGCCTGCAAAGGCCAAGACCAGTGGTGCAGAAAGAAGATACCACACATGTGAGCAACTCCTTTTCCACTTTGAAGGAACAGTCAAAAAAGAGTAATACAATTGAGGAAGGGATAGAAGGCAATCAGACAACAACATGCAGGTTCAACAAATCTAAAAGTCCTATAAAGGGGGAAGGTGTTCATTAGAACAAAGAAACCTTAAATGTTGAAGCTACTATTCAAAGGGGAACACAAATGAGAATAGTGATGGGTCCAGGTACTGGGAGGGGAGCTGTAGTCCCTCCCCCAAATGGATAAACTGGGATTTTGAAATGTCAGGGGTCCAAATAGGCAGGACAATGATAAGCAGGAATTTTGACTACTTATTAGCACCCTTTTACTTTCTTTTTAGCTCAAAATGCTTAAAGGTATTCCCGAAAATTGATAAAATGTGCTTTCTTGTATGAGTATTAGGAATGAGCCACCATAATGAAATTCAACTCAAGAAGGAGTATTTTTGGACAAAGACTAAAACCAAGCAAAAAGTGGCAATGTGCATACTGTAGAATTTTGTTTGCGGTTGCAGAATGTGAAGGACTTTTGATAGTGCAACTAGGCAATGTGCGGACCGCAGAATAATTATGCGGCCACAGAAGAGGAAGATCATAGAGTTCGAACTTGAATTCCATCGAAAAGTGTGGACCACACTATAATTGTGCGGCCGCAGAAGTCCAAAGTACGATCGCACACAGAATTGTGCAGTCCACAGAACCTGAAGGAAGTGCGGCCGCAATTCAGGATTGTGCGTCCGCAGAAGTCCGTTCTATCAAGCTCAGCTTCAAGGTGCGGACCGCACATAGAATTGTGCGTCCACAGAACCTGCGAAAGGGCAATTTTGTCTAAAATTTTCATCTATATATAAATAGTCTTTTTTGTCAAAATTAGGTTAAGTTTGAACTTTAGAAAGTAGAGAGCTGTTTTTATTTACTGGCTTAGGAACTTTACAATAGCTTGTATAATTTACTTTGGATTTTTATCTCTTTATCATCTAATATGAGTTTAATCTTCTTTTCTTCTTTAATTTCTTCACTTTTATCTATGAGTAGCTAAATTTCTAGCAAGGGTTATGACCCAATCCTAGTGTGGGTACCTAATGGGTGTTTGATTTAGGGCTTGTTTAATGTTGGGACGGTTGCAAACATTGATTCATGCCTAATTGACTTAGTCTCTACTTGAGAAAGAGAGATTGAGTCTAGGAAAACTTGGCTAACAAGAAATTAGGATGAACTCAAAAGATTGATAGTCACAATTAAGCGGTTGAATCTAGAGATAGTAAAACTCGACTTGAGAATCTATCAACTGTTTTTTGAATTACCCATTTGGGCTTGAGAAAGCCAAATTGAGAAAATTACTCTATTACTAAGAGGTATTGAG